TACAATAGTAAGATGACAAGCATACATCTTCTGTGTATAAAGTGTGTTTTACAATAGTAAGATGACAAGCATACATCTTCTGAGTATAAAATGTGTTTTACAATAGTAAAAACTTCTATTACTTTTAAACTTATCGCTGGATCCACATATTGCATCATATTGAGAAATTACACATCTTTACCTCTCATAGTGTAAAGAACCGAATGAAATCACTCTTCATGTAAGCTACGTGTATAATAAACACCACCAGTGATTAGTGGGATTACTTGTAATATTGAACGTATTTTTGTTTAAGTATTTCGTATGTACCTCATTAGGTACCATGAATCGTCTTCATTTTAATGCAGCTCCAGCCCCTTCAAGCCCTTCCCGCCTCCACTCTGGTACCATCATATGTGACCAAACTACTTCGTGTGAACACAGAAACCATATGCAGCGACATCTATAGAAACATACAGAATAAATAAAAACAACTTTTATACGGTATATCACAATTGCCAATATATTAATTAATTACTAGGACATTCTACCCTCCTTTTCAAATTCTGTACAAGTTATTACATCACAAAAACTCCTAAGCAGTAAGATCCTAGAGATAAAGAAATTCTCATCTGGGGTCTTTTGTATCTTACATAATTAATACTTACAGAAAAGAGGGACAACAAAAGAACTTTCAGAAAGGTCACAATGAACACGAAACGAAAGGAAATGCGTCTCACCCACCCTCTTTCTTTTGTGAGCGCTTTCCTCCCCTTCAGCAATCAAATTCAACGCCCTTACCAAGCAGTTAACATAAAACGGTAACTATGATGAATATGTATGAGTGGAAAGAAAGATCAGCATCTAATTATTCGTCTGTCATTAGCCTAAAAATTAATAACCGAATTGATGTGTTATACTACAAGCCCTTAGGCTTAACCTCTCAAGCATACAATTCTATACCTAATTTCACCCATCAGGATAAATCAAACAAACAATTCAAAAATTATGCAGTTTTTTTTTTTAGTGTTTGAATTTCTAACAACATATCCTATAGTTCTTAATCGTTGATGTTGTTTGATTTTAAACAATTCAACAAAGACAAAACTCACTGCAAGAAGGTATTTTGAACTGATGAGAAGAACGAAAACAAAGTATTATAAAGCACTTCTCGATAACAACAAGACAAAAACATTGTACAATTTGTACAATTCTGGATAAAAGCTTTCAGTGAGAAAGGTGAAAGATTTGTCCAATCAATACGTTCAACACAGAGTATCGGGAAAAAAAGGAGGAAAGTCTAAAACTTCTTGTCTAGTTTGTAATCAATGTTGAATTCTGTGTCAGGTGGTGAAATAAATGATAATAAAAGAGGGTGAAATTATAAATAGCGAGACTGGTGACGAGTTTAGAGAGTGAATTTCTTATTAAGTCCGACGCTTTAGTACTGACTTCATAAACAGCTTCATAACTGACTTCATAAGCAGCTTCATAACTGACCTCATAAACAGCTTCATAAACAGCTATGAACCAACCAAAACTTTTCTTCTAATAATGTCATCATACGTTCTAAAATGTAGCTATTATTAATAAACATTTTGGTCTGATGACAAACTGATGAGAAGATAAACATTAAACTGAGCCAGAATGAAGGAACGAAGAAATAGCTATGGTGTGAACTATTAACAGGAAACTGTAGAATAATGCTGCTTGAAAGAAGTAGCTATGGTATGAACTATTAACAGGAAACTGTAGTATAATGCTGCTTGAAAGAAGTAGCTATAGTGTGAACTATTAACAGGAAACTGTAGTATAATGCTGCTTGAAAGAAGTAGCTATGGTGTGAACTATTAACAGGAAACTGTAGTATAATGCTGCTTGAAAAAAGTAGCTATGGTGTGAACTATTAACAGGAAACTGTAGAATAATGCTGATTGAAAGAAGTAGCTATGGTGTGAACTATTAACAGGAAACTGTAGTATAATGCTGCTTGAAAGAAGTAGCTATGATGTGAACTATTAACAGGAAACTGTAGTATAATGCTGCTTAAAACCCAAGTTTCAATTTATTTGTCAGTCTGAATTAGAAGTGTGAATCGTCTCTTGTATTTTACATCTAATGAAGTGTTGGTTACATACCTGATAAGTACTAGTAGAAAGAGTACATCAAATTTTTACATCTGAACAACGAAGTGTTGGTTACATACCTGATAACCACTAGTACATACAGTAGACATGGTTTTTCCATCTGTACAACGAAATGTTGGTTAAATACCACTAGTAAAGACAGTAGACCTAGTCTTTACATCTGTACAACGAAGTATTGGTTAAATACCACTAGTACATATAGTAGACATGGTTTTTCCATCTGTACAACGAAGTATTGGTTAAATACCACTAGTAAAGACAGTAGACCTAGTCTTTACATCTGTATAACGAAGTCTTGGTTAAATACCACTAGTAAAGACAGTAGACCTAGTCTTTACATCTGTATAACGAAGTCTTGGTTAAATACCACTAGTACAGACAGTAGACCTAGTCTTTACATCTGTACAACGAAGTCTTGGTTAAATACCACTAGTACAGACAGTAGACCTAGTCTTTACATCTGTACAACGAAGTGTTGGTTTAATACCTGATAACCACTAGTAGAGACAGTAGATCTAGTCTTTACATCTGTAGAGCGAAGCGTTGATTCCGTTGAACACATAATCTAACCTATATAAAAGCCACTGTGTGTCACATCACATCACGCTTGATTTCTCGAAATAGGATGCGTCATAAAAGTCAAAATGCATTTATCCAGATAGAATAGTTCAATTACTGTCTGCCCATTACGATTTTAGTGACAGGGGTGCAATGGGGCCGTGAAGGGATGTGTGTCGTGAAACCTTATAAGTGTAGTGAGTGTTGGTATAATAAGCCTAGAGCCAAGTGCATAAAATTTATCATAAAATATCGATTCAATTAAAACAACAGCTAAAAACAATACCTTCTGTAGTACAAGTTCGAATTATCCTATAAAACTAAGGGTCCTTATGTTGATTTGAAATTTCTCTTTTCTGAAATACAGAATTTGAGTCACTT